ACACCAGGGTAGGAAGGAGAGGGACGGTACACCAGGGTAGGAAGGAGAGGGACGGTACACCAGGGTAGGAAGGAAAGGGACGGTACACCAGGGTAGGAAGGAAAGGGACGGTAACACCAGGGTAGGAAGGAAAGGGACGGTACACCAGGGTAGGAAGGAGAGGGACGGTACACCAGGGTAGGAAGGAGAGGGACGGTACACCAGGGTAGGAAGGAAAGGGACGGTACACCAGGGTAGGAAGGAAAGGGACGGTACACCAGGTAGGAAGGAGAGGGACGGTACACCAGGGTAGGAAGGAAAGGGACGGTACACCAGGGTAGGAAGGAAAGGGACGGTACACCAGGGTAGGAAGGAGAGGGACGGTACACCAGGGTAGGAAGGAAAGGGACGGTACACCAGGGTAGGAAGGAAGGGACGGTACACCAGGGTAGGAAGGAGAGGGACGGTACACCAGGGTAGGAAGGAGAAGGACGGTACACCAGGGTAGGAAGGAAAGGGACGGTACGCCAGGGTAGGAAGGAGAGGGACGGTACACCAGGGTAGGAAGGAAAGGGACGGTACACCAGGGTAGGAAGGAAAGGGACGGTACACCAGGGTAGGAAGGAGAGGGACGGTACACCAGGGTAGGAAGGAAAGGGACGGTACACCAGGGTAGGAAGGAAAGGGACGGTACACCAGGGTAGGAAGGAGACGGGACGGTACACCAGGGTAGGAAGGAAAGGGACGGTACACCAGGGTAGGAAGGAAAGGACGGTACACCAGGGTAGGAAGGAGAGGGACGGTACACCAGGGTAGGAAGGAAAGGGACGGTACACCAGGGTAGGAAGGAAAGGGACGGTACACCAGGGTAGGAAGGAGAGGGACGGTACACCAGGGTAGGAAGGAAAGGGACGGTACACCAGGGTAGGAAGGAAAGGGACGGTACACCAGGGTAGGAAGGAAAGGGACGGTACACCAGGGTAGGAAGGAGAGGGACGGTACACCAGGGTAGGAAGGAAAGGGACGGTACACCAGGGTAGGAAGGAGAGGGACGGTACACCAGGGAGGAAGGAAAGGGACGGTACACCAGGGTAGGAAGGAAAGGGACGGTACACCAGGGTAGGAAGGAGAGGGACGGTACACCAGGGTAGGAAGGAAAGGGACGGTACACCAGGGTAGGAAGGAAAGGGACGGTACACCAGGGTAGGAAGGAAAGGGACGGTACACCAGGGTAGGAAGGAGAGGGACGGTACACCAGGGTAGGAAGGAAAGGGACGGTACACCAGGGTAGGAAGGAAAGGGACGGTACACCAGGGTAGGAAGGAAAGGGACGGTACACCAGGGTAGGAAGGAAAGGGACGGTACACCAGGGTAGGAAGGAAAGGGACGGTACACCAGGGTAGGAAGGAGAGGGACGGTACACCAGGGTAGGAAGGAAAGGGACGGTACACCAGGGTAGGAAGGAGAGGGACGGTACACCAGGGTAGGAAGGAAAGGGACGGTACACCAGGGTAGGAAGGAAAGGGACGGTACACCAGGGTAGGAAGGAAAGGGACGGTACACCAGGGTAGGAAGGAAAGGGACGGTACACCAGGGTAGGAAGGAAAGGGACGGTACACCAGGGTAGGAAGGAGAGGGACGGTACACCAGGGTAGGAAGGAAAGGGACGGTACACCAGGGTAGGAAGGAAAGGGACGGTACACCAGGGTAGGAAGGAAAGGGACGGTACACCAGGGTAGGAAGGAAAGGGACGGTACACCAGGGTAGGAAGGAGAGGGACGGTACACCAGGGTAGGAAGGAAAGGGACGGTACACCAGGGTAGGAAGGAAAGGGACGGTACACCAGGGTAGGAAGGAAAGGGACGGTACACCAGGGTAGGAAGGAAAGGACGGTACACCAGGTAGGAAGGAAAGGGACGGTACACCAGGGTAGGAAGGAGAGGGACGGTACACCAGGGTAGGAAGGAAAGGGACGGTACACCAGGGTAGGAAGGAGAGGGACGGTACACCAGGGTAGGAAGGAAAGGGACGGTACACCAGGGTAGGAAGGAAAGGGACGGTACACCAGGGTAGGAAGGGAGGGACGGTACACCAGGGTAGGAAGGAAAGGGACGGTACACCAGGGTAGGAAGGAAAGGGACGGTACACCAGGGTAGGAAGGAAAGGGACGGTACACCAGGGTAGGAAGGAGAGGGACGGTACACCAGGGTAGGAAGGAAAGGGACGGTACACCAGGGTAGGAAGGAGAGGGACGGTACACCAGGGTAGGAAGGAAAGGGACGGTACACCAGGGTAGGAAGGAAAGGGACGGTACACCAGGGTAGGAAGGAAAGGGACGGTACACCAGGGTAGGAAGGAGAGGGACGGTACACCAGGGTAGGAAGGAAAGGGACGGTACACCAGGGTAGGAAGGAGAGGGACGGTAACACCAGGGTAGGAAGAAAGGGACGGTACACCAGGGTAGGAAGGAAAGGGACGGTACACCAGGGTAGGAAGGAAAGGGACGGTACACAGGGTAGGAAGGAAAGGGACGGTACACCAGGGTAGGAAGGAAAGGGACGGTACACCAGGGTAGGAAGGAGAGGGACGGTACACCAGGGTAGGAAGGAAAGGGACGGTACACCAGGGTAGGAAGGAAAGGGACGGTACACCAGGGTAGGAAGGAAAGGGACGGTACACCAGGGTAGGAAGGAAAGGGACGGTACACCAGGGTAGGAAGGAGAGGGACGGTACACCAGGGTAGGAAGGAAAGGGACGGTACACCAGGGTAGGAAGGAAAGGGACGGTACACCAGGGTAGGAAGGAGAGGGACGGTACACCAGGGTAGGAAGGAAAGGGACGGTACACCAGGGTAGGAAGGAAAGGGACGGTACACCAGGGTAGGAAGGAAAGGGACGGTACACCAGGGTAGGAAGGAGAGGGACGGTACACCAGGGTAGGAAGGAAAGGGACGGTACACCAGGGTAGGAAGGAAAGGGACGGTACACCAGGGTAGGAAGGAAAGGACGGTACACCAGGGTAGGAAGGAGGGGGACGGTACACCAGGGTAGGAAGGAAAGGGACGGTACACCAGGGTAGGAAGGAGAGGGACGGTACACCAGGGTAGGAAGGAAAGGGACGGTAACACCAGGGTAGGAAGGAAAGGGACGGTACACCAGGGTAGGAAGGAGAGGACGGTACACCAGGGTAGGAAGGAAAGGGACGGTACACCAGGGTAGGAAGGAGAGGGACGGTACACAAGGGTAGGAAGAAGGACGGTACACAAGGGTAGGAAGGAGAAGGACGGTACACAAGGGTAGGAAAGAGAGGGACGGTACACAAGGGTAGGAAAGAGAGGGACGGTACACAAGGGAAGGAAGGAGAGGGACGGTACACCAGGGTAGGAAGGAGAAGGACGGTATACAAGGGTAGAAAGGAGAGGTTCGGTACACAAGGGTAGGAAGGAGAGGGACGGTACACAAGGGTAGGAAGGAGAGGGACGGTACACCAGGGTAGGAAGGAGAAGGACGGTACACAAGGGTAGAAAGGAGAGGTTCGGTACACAAGGGTAGGAAGGAGAGGGACGGTACACCAGGGTAGGAAGGAGAGGGACGGTACACAAGGGTAGGAATGAGAAGGACGGCACACAAGGGTAGGAAGGAGAGGGACGTACCAAGGGTAGGAGGAGAGGGACGGTACACAAGGGTAGGAAGGATAGGGACGGTACACAAGGGTAGGAAGTAGAGGGACGGTACACAAGGGTAGGAAGGAGAGGGACGGTACACAAGGGTAGGAAGGAGAGGGACGGTACACAAGGGTAGGAAGGAGAGGGACGGTACACAAGGGTAGGAAGGAGAGGGACGGTACACAAGGGTAGGAAGGATAGGGACGGTACACAAGGGTAGGAAGTAGAGGGACGGTACACAAGGGTAGGAAGGAGAGGGACGGTACACAAGGGTAGGAAGGAGAAGGACGGTACACCAGAGTAGGAAGGATAGGGACGGTACACAAGGGTAGGAAGGAGAAGGACGGTACACCAGAGTAGGAAGGATAGGGACGGTACACAAGGGTAGGAAGGAGAGGGACGGTACACAAGGGTAGGAAGGAGAAGGACGGTACACAAGGGTAGGAAGGAGAGGGACGGTACATAAGGGTAGGAAGGAGAGGGACGGTACACAAGGGTAGGAAGGAGAGGGACGGTGCACCAGAGTAGGAAGGATAGGGACGGTACACAAGGGTAGGAAGTAGAAGGACGGTACACAAGGGTAGGAAGGAGAGGGACGGTACACAAGGGTAGGAAGGAGAGGGACGGTACACCAGAGTAGGAAGGATAGGGACGGTACACAAGGGTAGGAAGGAGAAGGACGGTGCACCAGAGTAGGAAGGAGAGGGACGGTACACCAGAGTAGGAAGGAGAGGGACGGTACACCAGAGTAGGAAGGAGAGGGACGGTACACCAGAGTAGGAAGGAGAGGGACGGTACACCAGAGTAGGAAGGATAGGGACGGTACACCAGAGTAGGAAGGAGAAGGACGGTGCACCAGAGTAGGAAGGAGAGGGACGGTACACCAGAGTAGGAAGGAGAGGGACGGTACACCAGAGTAGGAAGGAGAGGGACGGTACACCAGAGTAGGAAGGATAGGGACGGTACACAAGGGTAGGAAGGAGAGGGACGGTACACCAGAGTAGGAAGGATAGGGACGGTACACAAGGGTAGGAAGGAGAAGGACGGTACACCAGAGTAGGAAGGAGAGGGACGGTACACCAGAGTCGGAAGGAAAGGGACGGTACACCAGAGTAGGAAGGATAGGGACGGTACACAAGGGTAGGAAGGAGAGGGACGGTACACCAGAGTAGGAAGGATAGGGACGGTACACAAGGGTAGGAAGGAGAGGGACGGACGGTACACCAGAGTAGGAAGGATAGGGACGGTACACAAGGGTAGGAAGGAGAGGGACGGACGGTACACCAGAGTAGGAGGGATAGGGACGGTACACAAGGGTAGGAAGGAGAGGGACGGTACAAGGCATCAGTGAACCTACTTGTCACGTTCTGTGTGCTCGACAGAGATCTGGTAGACACCACTGTGAAGTCTTGGCCACCAATCCGAAGTCTTGTCCACTACTGTGTAAAGCTCGCCCACCTCTGTGAAATCTTGGCCATCAATAAATAGTTTTGGTTTTCAGTTAGGTAGTCTTCGCTGTCATTGTGAAATCTTGGCCCAACCTGGATAGTCGTGGCCACTACTTTGAAATCTTGGCCACCACTGTTAAATATTGGTCACCACTGTGCAATCTTGGCCGCCACTGTGTTTTCTTGGCCGCCACTGTGAAATCTTGGCCTCCACTTAGAAATCTTGGCCTACACTTTGAAATCTTGGCCACCACTGTGATATCTAGGCCGCCACTTTGAAATCTTGGCCACTACTGTAAAATCTTGGCCCCTACTGTGAAAACTTGGTCTCCACTTTGAAATCTCGGCCGCCACTTTGAAATCTCGGCCGCCACTTTGAAATCTTGGCCTCCACTTTGAAATTCAGACCGCTACTTTGAAATTTTGGTCTCTACTGTGAAATCTTGGCCTCCACTTTGAATTCTTGGCCTCCACTTTGAATTCTTGGCCGTCACTTTGAATTCTTGGCCGTCACTATGAATTCTTGGCCGTCCCTTTGAATTCTTGGCCGCCAATCATAAGCAACAGTTGGGTAGTTTCCCGCGCAAAAGTGTCCTCCAGAACTTGCAAGACGAAGCAGCTGGTTAGTCCAAAATGGCGCCTGCGACCTGTTGTGTCAGTGGTGGACGCGTGCAACGTGGTGTAGAGGGGCCAGGCGGCGTGCAGGAGAGTATCCCCGGTGTGAGGAGTATCCCTGGTGTGAGTATCCCTGGTGTATGAGTGGTAAGAGGGTGGCCTGGCCCTGCTGTGTGTGTGTATGTGCTGGCAGACCACCACCTACCTACCGGCCTGGCCACAACACCACAACACTCAACTTGCTTCGATGTGTTCCCTTCAGTTTGTGTGACCCTCCCAGCCTCGCCTTGACTCGCCTCCCTCCCTCCTGGGCATTCCCTTGACCTGCTAAAACATCAACCTTCCGCTGGATTGATCAATTATCGTCTGGTGGACGCTCAACGGAAGCAATTAGGCTGTTGATTTTTAAACTGTTTCTTCTGAATGAACGAAGCCGTGTGATAATTTCCCGTGTACTCTGGGAGAGGTGGAGTGAGGGCAGGGCGGAGGTCGTACTCGAGGTGTCACGTGTTACTCCAACATTCGCACTCCACCACCTCCCTCCTTCGGCGACGTCTTCCCTCCACACAGACGTGCGTATTGGCACGTCGAGGCAGTGGAAGGTGTAATATGGGTGTAGGTGTGAGTGTGAGTGGTAGGTAGGTCGCCTGGCAAGGATGCTGAGGGCAGGAGAAGTAATCAATACAGTGATGTGCACAGGCGCGTGTGCTGGCCTGGCCCCCTGGCCACCTGGCCCCCGCTACCACAACCTCTCATTCTACGTCAGTGTGGCCAAGGCCGCTCCTACCACCGCCCCCAAACACCCCTCCCCTTACCCCCATTACCCCTAACGCTTACTGACACTCCCCCCTCCCCCGCCTTCCTTCTCTTCTAAAGGTTTTCTTTCCTCTGTATTGCCCCCACCCCAAAAAAAAAAAAAATCCAACGTCAGGAAGAGCATTCAAATTCATCCTCAACCAGGACGCAAAAAATCCCAGCTGGCAGCCTCTTCTGTAGCCTCAAGTGTTACTAGAGCTGCACACAAGGTTCAAGCACTGCCAAGTGGAATCAATCGCTGGTAAGTAGACAGTGAGGCAGAGGTATAAAGCTCTCAAGGTATACAGGAAAACAAATTGTGGAGGTCAGACTGCGAGGAGAACATTAGGACGGGACGAGCCTCGTGCGTCATCAGCCCCCCAGTGACGTCAGGGCGACTCACCTGCCACACACCACCACTTTAATTCACCATACACCATCACATACAAAATATCTATAAGGTATGCCCTTCTGTAATGACATCGACGGCCACTCATTATGTAGGTTAAAAAAATTAACTAATACAGGTATTTTCAACGTGTTTAAAAGTTACTGATAAAAATAGTGTGTGGGACACTCCCAGTGACGTCAGAGCACGCACAGACCTCACTTGCCATATACCACTACCCACCACCACTATAATACACCATACACATACACATACACATTATCTATAAATTAAACCCTTTGTAATAAAGTCACTAACGCCAGAGCATGCTTGATAAAAAATAAATTGACAATTTTAGCGTATTTAAAAATAACTAATAACAATATCGAGTGTGGCACCCGTCTAGTGACGTCATTAATAGCGTCAACAACATACAGTTTCGTATTCTCAAACAGCACTGGAGATGACCTGCCCTTGTTATGTACTCAATGTTGCAAGCTGCTTCTTGCATTGTGACTCGCTGGTTGCTAGAGGCATCCAGTGCATGAGGCCCATCAGCCAGACATCACTACCATCAACAGACTTCTAGTGCCATCAACCAGACTTCTAGTGCCATCAGCCAGACTTCTAGTACCATTAATCAGAGATCACTTCCATCAACCAGACTTCCACTACCATCAACCAGACTCCAGCTCCATTAACCATACATAATTACCATTACCCATAAATCACTGTCACCAACCATACATCACTACCATCAACCATACATCACTACCATTAACCATAAAATCACTACCATCAAACATACATCACTACCATCAACCATACATCACTACCCTCAACCATACATCACTACCATCAACCATACATCACTAACATCAACCAACCCACTACCATCAACCATACATCACTGCCATCAACTATACATCACTACTAACAACCATACATCACTACCATCAACCAAACATCATTAACTCCTCAACCATACATCACTACCACAACCATACATCACTACCATTTAAACCCTATATCACTACCGTCAAACATACATCATTTCCATCAACCATACATCACTACCATCAACCATACATCACTAATATCAACCAATACATCACTACCATCAACCAAACTCCACTGCCATTAACCATACATCGCTGCCATCAACCATGCACCACTAAACCCTCAACCATACATCACTACCATCAACCATACATCACTGCCATCAACCATACATCACTACCAGCAACCAACATCACTACCATCAAACCCTACAAAACTACCATCAACCATACATCACACCATCAACCATACATCACTACCATCAACCATACATCACTACCATCAACCATATATCACTACCATCAACCATACATCACTGCCATCACCCATACATCACTACCATCAACCATACAACACTACCATCAACCAGACTTCTAGTGCCATCAACCAGACTTTTAGTATAAACAACCAGACTTCTAGTACCATTAATCAGACATCACTACCATCAACCAGACTTCCACTACCATCAACCAGACTCCAGCTCCATTAACCATACATAATTACCATTACCCATAAATCACTGTCACCAACCATACATCGCTACCATCAACCATACATCACTACCATCAACCATACATCACTACCCAAACAAACATCACTACCATCAACCATACATCACTACCATCAACCATACATCACTAACATCAACCAGACTCCACTACCATCAACCATACATCACTGCCATCAACTATACATCACTAACATCAACCATACATCACTACCATCAACCATACATCACTACCATCAACCAGACTCCACTACCACCAACCATACATCACTGCCGTCAACTATACATCGCTACCATCAACCAGACTCCACTGCCATCAACCATACATCACTACCATCAACCACACATCACTTCTGTCAACTATACATTAACCTCAACCATACATAACTACCATCAACCATACATCATTACCATCAACCATAGATCACTACCATCAACCATACATCATTACCCTCAACCATACATCACTACCATCAACCATACATCACTACCATTAACCATAGATCACTACCGTCAATCATACATCATTTCCATCAACCATACATCACTACCATCAACCAATACATCACTAATATCAACCATACATCACTACCATCAACCAGACTCCACTGCCATTAACCATACATCGCTGCCATCAGCCATGCACCACTACCATCAACCATACATCACTACCATCAACCATACATCACTGCCATCAACCATACATCACTACCATCAACCATACATCACTACCATCAACCATACATCACTACCATCAACCATACATCACTACCATCAACCATACATCACTACCATCAACCATACATCACTACCATCAACCATACATCACTACCATCAACCATACATCACTACCATCAAACCCTACATCACTACCATTAAACCCTACATCACTACCATCAACCATACATCACACCATCAACCATACATCCTGCCATCATCCATACATCACTACCATCAACCATAAAATCATTAAACCAAACAACCACACATCACTACCATCAAATAAAAACTACCCACAACCATACATCACTACCATCAACCATACATCACTACCATCAACCATACATCACTACCATCAACCATACATCACTACCATCAACCATACATCACTACCATCAACCATACATCACTGCCATCAACCAGACTCCACTACCATCAACCATACATCACTGCCATCAACTATACATCATTACCATCAACCATACATCGCTACCATCAACCATAGATCACTACCATCAACCAGACTCCACTACCATCAACCATACACACTGCCCTCAACTATACACGCTACCATCAACCAAACTCCACTACCATCAACCATACATCACTACCATCAACCATACATCACTGCTGCCAACTATGCATTACCCTCAACCATATATCACTGCCATCAACCATACATCACTACCATCAACCATAGATAACTACCAAAACAACCATACATCCTACCCTCAACCATACATCATACCCTCAACCATACATCACTACCATCAACCATACATCACTACCATTAACCATAGATCACTACCGTCAATCAACAAACATTTCCATCAACCATACGTCACTACAATCAACCATACATCATTACCATCAACCATACATCGCTGCCATCAACGATACATCACTACCATCAACCATACATCACTACCATCAACCATATATCACTACCATCAACCCTACATCATACCATCAACCAACATCACTACCATCAACCATACATCACTACCATCAACCATACATCACTACAATAAACCATATATCACTACCATCAACCATACATCACTACCATCAACCATACATCACTACCATCAACCATACATCGCTGCCATCGAACATACATCACTACCATCAACCATACATCACTACCATCAACCATATATCACTACCATCAACCGTACATCACTACCATCAACCGAAAATCACTACCATCAACCTACATCCTACCATCAAACCCTACATCACTACCATTAACCATACCTCACTACCATCAACCATTACATCACTACCAAACAACCATAAAATCGCTGCCATCGAACATACATCACTACCATCAAAACCCTACATCACTACCATCAACCATACATCACTACCATCAACCATACATCAATACCATCAAAACCCTACATCACTACCCATCAACCATACATCACTACCATCAAACCCTATATCACTACCATCAACCATACATCGCTGCCATCAACCATACATCACTACCATCAACCATACATCACTACCAAACAACCATATATCACTGCCAAACAACCATATATCAAATACCATCAACCATTCATCACTACCATCAAACCCTACATAACTACCATCAACCATACATCACTACCATCAACCATACATCACTACCATCAACCATACATCACTACCATCAACCATACATCACTGCCATGAACCATACATCACTACCATAACCATACATCACACCATCAACCATTTCCACAAACATCAACCATACATCACTACCATCAACCATCATCACTACCATCAACCATACATCACTACCCTCAACCATACATCACTACCATCAACCCTACATCAAATACCATCAACCATACATCGCGCCATCAACCATACATCACTACATCAACCATAAAATCACTACCATCAACCCTAAAATCACTACCATCAACCATACATCACTAAACCCTCAACCATACATCACTACAATCAACCATACATCACTACTATCAACCATACATCATACCATGAACCATACATCACTACCATTAACCATACATCAACTGCCATCAAACCCTACATCACTAAACCATCAACCATACATCGCTGCCATCGAACATACATCACTACCATCAACCATACATCACTACCATCAACCATACATCACTACCATCAACCATACATCACTACCATCAACCATACATCACTACCATCAACCATACATCACTACCATCAACCATACGTCGCTGCCATCAACCATACATCACTACCATCAACCATACATCAC